TAGAGAAGTAACTATTTATTCTTGTGTTAGAGTTGTTAAGTTAGTAAGAAAAGGACTTAAAAGAAAAAAAGTTTGTCTTCATAGTGATGAGGTAATTAAGAAATTTCAAATCTTATTTAGAATAAAAAACTGGTTTTCTTTTGAATAAAAATTTTTCATAAAAGATGTGAAGAATTTGTCGATAGAACGTCAAGGCAATAGTCCATTAGTTGTAATTAACCACTCTTGTTCTTATCATTGAAGTATTATAAACACTAAATTTCATTTTCAACTTTTTCTGAAACATAAAGTAATTATGTTACCTGTTTATCTGATAATTTTTTAAACAAAATTTAGCTTGCTTGTTTTTATTAATAATAGGTATCGATACTTCTTTGTGAGTAGTAATGAGGTTCAGTACTAAGTTTGATATGACTCAATATATTTGAGAATACTTGTGTTCATGGTTGTATTATTTTTTAAGCCCATAATTTCTTATTAAACGGTTCATCTTCTTTTATGATTTTTTTATTCACTTCTTTTTATTTAGAAGATTATGTTAATTAAACTTTCCTTATTTTCTGACAAAGACATTATCTCAGTTATTAGAAAAATTCAAAACTTGAGTTTGACTTAAGTTGTTGTTAACGTTTCTTTTACTAAGTTCATGAAGTAAATGAAAAAATAAAAGAAGAATTAAATTCATTTAGCTTTTATGCTTTGGTTTGTGGGAGAATGAATTTGTTCAACAAGCACACAAAGTTGAAGAAAGTTTTTACAAATGGGATTGGATGAATCTCCCTTTTAGCAAAATGAACTTCGAATGATAAACAGACCAACTATTGTGTTAGTTATTTTACTTAGTTTAAGACAATACTCACAGTTAAAAACAAACGAATGGGAATAGAAGAGAATATAATGTGTTACTAATAATTTGGTCAACAAAGAAACAAGACAAAGTAAATAATGAACCAAAACCAACAAAGAAGAACAACCTACTATCGATGCAATAAACAACTCTTTCTAAATTCATTTTTTGGTAACGTAATTGAAGTTTTAAATTGAATGCATAAAATGCATATAAAATATCAATGATAAATAACTCAAATATTCTTACAAAAGGGATTAATCGAATAAGCAATGAAGAAGCTAACATAGTCATAGTTAATACTGTAAAGTATAAGGAATAAGGACCAGTTCCAATTTGGGCGTTAGAATTATTTTTGATGTGATTGTATTGTTCTGCTATAATTTTGTAATAACTTTCTGATTTATACAAAGCGTAAAGTAATAACGAATAATATGTTGTGGTATAAAAGACATTCCACACAGTTGAAACCATTCCCTCTAACTCTTTTTGGTCATTTCCAAATTGTTGAAGTAACAAAGGGAAAATTAAGTAATTTGAAATAGTGTAAAATCCTCCTAATATGACAACATTAATTAGTACAATATGTGAGTATGGTTTAATAAATAACTCTTTATTCTTAAGAATTCTTGTAAAAACAACACGA